ACCATCTGTCAATCTCTGCTTCCCTCACTGAGAACCTTTCATTTCACCCCTGTTCAAGCAATAGGAGTACATACTGTATAAATACATCTTACCTCACAATTGTTGCATGATATGTATGCCACTTTACTAAAAACTGTGCTTTTAATCCTGTCCTGAACCTCTCTCATCATCATGACGATCATCATTCATGGAGCTGTGAGGCAGACATATGCTGCTGCTGCCCCCACCACACACACACACACACACACACACACACGCACACACACACACACGAGCACACACACACACACCAGGGCATCCGCTTACAGCCAGCGTGTGTGCCCGTTTAGCATGTCAGACAAGGACTCATTCATTTGACTCAAAATGCAATGCAAAAATTAATTGAATGTTAAGTGTTAATACTATTCTTAAGTATTTGAGTATTCATACTTTCATTAAAAACAACATTGGCAAAATCTAAAGTTTGGAAGTAATTCATTACTTGAGTAAAAATACATACTTTTAAATGTCCTTGTCAGAATTTTAATCAAATACCTTTAATGTAAAGGAAAATGTATAGAACGCAAGTCATTATCGGAAAATAAATGCTGACAGGGCGAACCGGACCCCGACGCCAGTGGCAGAGCTAGACTTTTAAAATATGGGTGACAAAGAGGCTGCAAGGGTTCATTTGGTTGGTCAATAAACATTGATCGGATCATTATACAGTCATCTGCCAACTGATCACACAAAATAAACTTCAGTCCATTTTTATGAATGCCGGAAGTAAATTTTCATAGTAAATTGGACGTTCCTGTTGAATGTGTAGTAAGTAAGTTGATAGTCGGACTCTCGTTAACTTCAGGAACTTCTACTTCTCTCAGAAGTAGTGACAGGCGCCTCTGGAAATAGATAACACTGGCGTAAAGAAGCTGAACAGAGCTTGCTCGTTGACAAAGGGGCTGGACTACTTGCGGAGTGATCGGAAACACGTGGATTACAAGCACAAATTGCGTTCATTATTGATTTCAGAGGTCCGTTATCAAGAAATAATGACTGGTGGAATGTTTTGAAATTTCATTCAAATCAATGGAGTGTTCTACTTCTACTGTGAAGAGCCGTATAATAAATTGCATTATCAATTTATTGCCTTTATTGGTGGATTATTCTAGCCACCAGTGCATGAAAATGGTTTTCCAAAGAAGAATGATCTCCCATCACAGCACTGACCATGCCGGAGACCGCTGAGCTTCCGAGAACAGTCTTTTAAAAGCAGGTTTGCAGTCCCTATAGACTTCAGTGTAAGCCCACAATGCAGTATACATTAAAACAAACATGAACGGGGATCTTGCATATCTTGATTTCATCACACTTCTGAATAAATTATTAATTATTGTGCATTTCCTCCGAAAATGGCAACAGACGTCAGCCTGTGAAATGAATGCAGACCCACGTATTGTCCCAGGAAGAGTGGGGGTGTCGCTCTCCCCTTTGCCTCCTCCCACCAATCGCTTTGTTTCTCCATTTTCAGCTCGAGGGGCCGTATCCGTGGAAACGCATTTGAATTTCAAGCCAATTTAACGTTGGAGGGGAAAATATGATGTGAGAGAAGGGCTAGGGCTTGAAGCAGTTTGATCTGTGAAAATCAAAGGTTTATAAAATAGCATTTTATTGTTTGTCAAAGTAGTTTTTCCTCAGTATTTAGTTTTTATTACAGGAAAACAATGGCATATACATATGTTTGCATGTTTTACAGATTACAGATAATATTTACGGATGCTGGAATACTAACGCCTAATAAATAATCATCATTGTAGTGCTGTGTGTTGAATAAATGCTGGAAGAATCTCAATTATGTGGCTGGTGTTCTGACCTATCATTAAAACAGAAGTGGTCTCCAGGCGTTTTCACACTGTAGGCCTGTGTCAAATGTGAAGCTTTATCCAAGGCTCATCTTTTTCCTCTGCAGCTATATCTTTGTTAACCTTTTCACAACATGGGCCGTACTTTGAGGAAATTATTATTCTATAAAAAATGTATGATTTCTTAGTTACCTTTGAAATATTTCTTGGACTGAAGCAAATCTGGACTAAAGCAAAATTGTGGGCAGATTATTATACCTTTATTGGGTATTGATTCCCATTAATTTCAATTGGGGGAGACGGAATACAGTTTGCAAAGTCAGCTGTGAGGGATCTTCTCTTCACGGATAAAACAGTACTCTTGGTAAATCTTTGACTTTTTTTATCCAAGGAAAGTTCAGCCCGAACTTTAGCTCCGCCTACATCAAATTCCAGCGGGCAGTGTAGGCGGGGCTAAAGTTCGGCTGGAGCCCAGCTACTGAAAGCTGGCATATTTCTCGCCGTACGAAATGCTGAGATTTTTGTGAGTCCCTATGAGATTTTTCCCTCCAGGTTTTCAGCGAGTACAAAAATCACTGAATTTAAACAAAACAAATGCAGTTTTTCTTGAAAGAACTAATCACATTTACTCAACATTTTACTGTTGTATCAATTTTTTTCAACAGCACGGAATCTGACAATGGAGCTGTGAAATGGCGATCCGCTCGGGTTCCAGAAGTGATGTCACATTGTAAAACATGAAATATCAAAGTGAATATTCTCAAGATCATTTAATGAATACAAATATGGAGTATTTGTTGTTTAACACTTTCATACACTCACATGTATCAACGATGGCACCACTCGCTGAGGCTGTTCAAGTCCGCAATATTATTAAAACATTATTTTGCTATAAAAAAAGACCACACAACACCGAGCTGCACATCTGTTACTTTAGTTTGAAAACACATCAAAAATAATCATCTTTTACACAATCTTCACATTAAAAACAGTTTATTCTGGGTTTGGTCCTTATAAATATTCATTATGTACAAAACAACATTATAAAACGTATAAAGAGCTGGAGCGTCATATTTAAATTAAACTCACTCTAAAAAATGACATTATTGGTTCTGTAGTTTGTAGGTTTAAGAGGAAGGCATCAACTTTTACTGCAGAGATTATTTATATGAATTATTTAAATTTCAAAATCTTGATTTGGGTAGTTTTGTCTAATTTTACATTTCCCTCCTAAATGTTTTTGTGTGAAACATTATTCTAAATGAACTCTAAACTTTGCACATGCTTCTAATATGTTTTGGGTTTAGGTAACACACAATATTCCCAAACCAAAATGTTCCCACATTTCACTGTAAGAAATTACAAATTGATGATCAAATATTAATTGAATATCCATATTTGTACGGATGTGTATTTAATACAATTAATACCTTTTATTTTCCTATAATCTTTGAAAACTGGGGTGCATACCTTAAAACCACAAAAAAACGAATCCATCTAACTATTTTCTGGTTCCCCAACGAATTATCAAGTCTACTCAAATAAATATTCTGAATTCAAATAATCCGTTTTTATTTTGCATAAACGCACTTTGAACTATAAATTTGCTTCTTGGATACAGCTGGCACAATACTTCAACTTATATTTTGTTTTTTGATTAAATTCCGATTCCACAAAAATATTCCAAGAAAAAGCAAACAATTCTTCTAATCAATGTTAAGGCTTCATTCTGGCTTCATACAATCTTCACCTTTTACATGATTTTCAAAGTTTTCACAGTTTAAAGTTCACAATCTGTGTGAGTTAAAATGACTTGAAATCAAAGTTCAAAGGTTTCTCTAAAATCTCCCAATGCACTTTCAAATACAGTACGTAATATTAATGCTTAAAAATATTTGTTCTTTCTCTTACACTTTGGATGATTGCAATAATATTTAATATTTCAATTTGATTAAAAAGATTGGAGTGATTTCTGTCTTTCAAATAAGGGAAGTTCATTTTATTCTATTTTAACTTTAATAATATAAGAAATGAATTAGTATCAGATTAAAGTTTAATTACACAATTTTATTTTAAGATATTGTTTTTAATTACATATTTGATATTCAATCTGTTCTTTGGCCTTGATTCCCATTTGTTTGTCTAAACATTTATATTAAAACAAATTAAAAATATAAACATTCAAACTATATTCAAATTAATAAATAATGCTAATGAAATCTTTTTAGAATAATCCTACATTCAAGTCAATTTATCCGTGGTTAAAAAATAAACTTGAAGTCTGATCACTTAACTCTGACCTCATATTTAACTAATTTCCTTTTTAGCAGACTAGAATTTACAATTAATAATTTACAAATAAAATGTAACCAGAAAAATTGAAAGTGTTCAGTTGTAAATCATTTAAATAATGGTTTATCCTGAATAAATTATAAGTTGCTAAAATGTGCACATTTAAATGGTGTGGATAATTATGGAATTTGAAAAAAGGTGATTGTTAGAATCAAGGCCGATAATACATGCGTAACACAAGACTCAAACTATTTTAGTCCCAAGAACGAGTTTCGAGATTATAATTCAATTGTTTTGTGCTTTGAAAGTTACACACCTCAGCTTTAACTTTAAATAAAACCACATAAACAAAATACCAATTTATCAATCTCAAATATCTACATTCCAGTCATTTAAAGTCACACAGATTTGAATTTCTTGCCATGTTTTGATTGTTTTTTTCCCCACCAATGACTTACTTCTCACATACAGCATTTTCGGGATTGGTTTTGGATTTTTGCATAGCAGGCGAAGCTGGTGAACGCACGTGGATTTACTCAAATATAGGCACAGGTGTTGACTGATTGATTGGCTGAAAAACATCAATGATTATCACAAAAAAGGCCATTTCGTCGCGCTGTGTAATCCGTTCAGTGTCCAAGACGGCTCACGAGTCTCCATAAATAATGTTCTTTTGCTGAGGTTCCGTCAGTCTGTTGGTTTTAAAGAGGTCCTTCGCTGTACACCTTCTCCATCTCTACGTCGCTAGAAAAATGGTCCGTGTTTGTAGAACTTCTTCATTTTTCTGTGTGATTCAAAGCAGCAGAAAATCTCTCCTCTCGAAGTTTTGTAAACAGTTCGTCCAGTGTTTCAGAGGACTCCCCTTGATTATACCTGTAATAATGCGATAAAAATAAACATTATGATGGATATACATACAGTATAAAAGATAATTACAACCACTAACAGTGACCATCCAGACTTTGAGAAACTTACAGATGTGATTGCAATTATAATGATCCAGGTTACTCAACATTTATGGACATTTATCAACTCTTCTGCCCCTTATGGACCAATACTGTTTTCTGTTTTAGTTCTTGAGTTTGAACTATTTGATTCTCCCATCTGTGTTGGCAAATTCAACGGATTGTGTAAAAACCAGTGTATTGTGTGGTTGGCTGGTGATGTGCCACGTGATGGTTCTCAATGAAAAAGCTGTGCCATGGTTCAAAAAGGTTGGGAAACACTGCTCTTGTGCTTTGTAAACACACACATGGACATCTTTAACATTGAGCTGTACATGATTTGTGTTTTATTTTGATAATGTCTTTGTAAATTGAGATATGACCGATAAAAACTGGTTTCTGTCCCAGACTTTGGTTAACGGATAGGCTGAATGGAATAGACCAGTATTGGCTCCTGATTGGTTGTTTGGTGGCTATAAGGTTGGTGTAAATTCCAGCCAAAATAGCTCTACGCAATCTCTACCAATAAAGGTCAAACCTTCTGCCTGATTCTTTTACACAGTCTCTGATTTAAATCTATACGTCAATAATAAATAAACGAGAAAAATCAGAACTTTTGAGAATAGTTGATATACTGTACATTCTACAACAACAACTAAATGCATCCTAAAAACAACATATTAACGTCACAACCACTGACAATATTCCTATAGATTAGATTATTTATTTTTCTGGCTATTTCTTCCCAAATGTCATAGCAGTAAAGTACAGCACCTCCGAGACCAGTGAGGTCTGCATAACTCCAACACGGAGCCAAAATAAAGAAACCCTCATGTTATTTATGAGCCCAGAAATTACACTTTTAATGAACAGGTCCAAAAACATAAGGCCTGTAATCCACACGGGACTAAACAGTGAAAGAAACTGCAAATTACACTGCGTGGGTTTAAAGTACTGTTTGGCCCTGTTACACACTCAATGGCTGATTATACTGCTTATTAGTGAGAAAGTCAATTAATTAAATCCAGAGAATGGCCTGAAACCTTATTTTAGGATGAGTTGTTGCCAAAAACACTGAATTTGCGTGTATAAAACTTCACTTTATAGTGTGTCACCCCCTGCATTTATGGCTCTGTAATAAGCCATTAAACAGCACGACTCTACAAGTGCCTGTGTTAAATTTACATCCAACTGAGAAACTGAAGCTTTATTTTAAAACGTGAAAAACAAAGTAGTAGTACAAGAGAATAAACACATTTCTAGCAGGATGATTATGTGTGGCCTGGATGGAGAGCCCGATTTATCCACATGTTGGGATTGCTCTGGACACGTTAGAGATACTGTGAGGTCATTCCAAAAACACCCATGCAGACAGGGACGGGATTGTGTCATTAGAAAGATGGATGTATCTTCTTGTAGGTCTGAACGATTTGTGCATTTCACATCTCAAAATAGGTCAGTGATATAGATATTGATACAACATAACTACAGTTTTGGTGAAGTATTATTACAAATCTACCGTCATCTTTGCTTTTTCAATAATATACATATATACGATCCCTGTGCAGTGGTGCTACTCCATGATGGTTGGAATGAGCTGAATTTGTAGAATGACTTCATATTTACCTCTGTTGCGATGACGCACTCCCGCCTCTCCTCCGCGATCACAAACACAGACTGGTACACCGAGTCTCTGTTGGAACATATGGTTGATATCCGACACTCCGGCTTTTCTCTGCAAAACAAAATAAGTTTAGAGTTCAAACAAGTATGAACACAGGGTGCACATGTGCTCCACACAGCCTCTAGGAGATGACATTCTGCTTCATAACAATGGTCAAACATCCTGCGATCAAATTGAAAGCACACAATCCTCATGGCGTTATTGAGGATTCGTCCAGTCACTACTAAGTGAAGCGACGCTTCTCTGAGGCCAAGTACATGCACACCAGGAGCGTGCGCATGAGGAGCGGCTGATGGCCTCTGGAAAGTCTATGGAGAAGTGTAGAGGACAGTACAGACCAACAGACGGCTACAGCAGCAGCAGTCTGATGTTTGTGTTTGTCCTTGTGGTAGTGAGATGGTTTGGTCACACGCAAGACTGTATGAAAGAAAAAAAACTATGCCCACAGTCAAAACAGCTCTCCTTCTAATGTTCAATACAAGTGTTATGGGCATGTGGAAATGATATAGTCATCAGAGACCATTAGCACAGGAATATTTTCCATGTATTTGGGTGGAAAGCCCACGACTATGGGCATCTAGCATGCATCCTCCAGGCCTCGACAAAGGCTACTGCACAAATTGGGACAGGGGAAGAAGCCACTAAAACTACACACAAGTCACACTATGACAGCGTTGCAAGTTGTGTAACAAGAGTGAAATCTTATCAGAATTGTTTTTAGAAATTGGAAAATGTTTATATTGCTCCATGTGGATGAACTTGTAGTGATTCCTTCTGGTCTTGGATGCACTGCACTGTGACTTTAGAAAACCCCTTTACTTATTTTTTGACATGTTTCTGTCTTCCCTGTGGTGACGCCAACTTCTCCATTGTTCAACATGTCATTTCAACAACAAAAGACGATGTGGGTGAATTTGCGCAACGATGACACTGACATTTCCCCACTGAGGGATCTAATCTTAAACCAGGTCTGGGCAATACTCTTCACTATTCAAATCAAGTCCCTTTTTAAGATTAGTTTGCAGTTTAGAAAGGACACTGTTGTAGACAATGGGTTACACTTTACTTTAATTGTGAGTTTAAACCACTTGCACACAGCCGGAGAACAGATGCGGAGCTGTAAACATCATTCCAGTGTTTGGGAAGATTTCAAACAGCCACTATGAATGCGGATGTCTCTCTCAGTAATGATAAGAAGGATTCTTTCTGGGTATCAATGAAAAGGATAGCAAACAAAGTGAGATGGGTACAAACTGTAGAACTAAGACCTGGGTACCTGTCGTGAATGTTGGCCACAATCATAAGGCTTTTATCCAACGTGGCCCAGTGTTGAAATTTGTTTTTGCTTTATGTCAGGTTTTCTCCACAGAGATGACAGAAATATGTTGAAAATAAAAGGGTCAAAACAAACTTCAGACTTTCAATATAAGTCTTCTAAAGTCTCAGCGCAGTGCCTCCAGGACCAGAGAGAATCACATTAGACCAACTAGAAGTTTGTCATCCACATGGAGTAATAAAAACATTTTTACATCTATAGAGCAGCATGTGCATGGCCCAGACTTTGACGGCAAGAGTTTCACAACATGTCTCGGCAAAAAGACTTGGTCGCAATGCGGGTTACTGTAAATGCAGAGTAGTTTGAACACACTTGTCCGTGTTGTTCAGTGTGGGAGGAGGAGGCAATACAGGCTTTTTGGATAAAAATGTCTTTGTTCTTGTATAGTGTCTCTGTTCTATATGGCTATAATGAATCAAGCCCCAAGAATCACAGACAGATAACAAAGAACTGTGAAATCGTGGCTAGAGCCATTTTCTACCTTTAAGACAAAAGTATTGCCTCTTATTTCATGTGGGAATTTCTCCAAACGACGTGATCCACAACAGCACAATTGAATCATTCCATCTTAGATTGACAATGAACACAACTCATGCATCATGTTTGTTCATTAAGGCAGAATTCTTACCTGTAAATTCTTGAAGTCCTTTTGTCTTCTAAACACTTGTCATATATTAAACTTTTTTCCGAGTTTTCGTCCTTAAACTCCTTCTGTTTTGAGCTGCTGTAGGAATCCAAGTGGTAGTTTTTATGAATGAAGTTGGATTTCTCCGAGTCACAATCCACTTCAAGCCCCAGTTTATGATTTGTGTTTTTCAGCTGCGACGCCGGTATGAGATTATCCCTTTGCTGCACGTTGGACACATTGTTCATTGTGTCCGTGTCTTCTGTGTTGCGCTGGCGTTGGCGGTACATGTGCCTCAGCGCCAGCCCCACCATGCACAGAAGAACCAGCAACGCCACCAGCCCAACCGCCAAAGACACCGCGGCCCACTGGAACTCCCCTTGGGTCGTGGATGAGGCCAATGCTGCGAAGTACTCACAACGCGGCCCGGTGACCCCCGCTGGGCACGAGCAGGTGGACGCGGCTCCGTTGGCGCTGCTGCACAGGCCGCCGTTGAGGCAGGGGCGTGAGGCCGAGCAGCGGTCGACAGCACGGTCGCAGTTTCGGCCCGTGAACCCAGAGGGGCAGAGGCAGGAGTAGTCGCTGATGCGGTCCTGGCACGTCCCGCCGTTCAGACAGGGTTGCCCCGCACATTCGTTGACGTTGATCTCGCAGCGGATCCCAGCGAAGCCGGCGCGACAGCTACACGTGCTCACACCGTTGTGGATGAGGCATTGGCCGCCTGGAGGGAACGGAAACAATAGTTAAAAATGCTGCTAGTCAGGCTTATTTTAACCTAATATAAACCCTTTGATGTTCACTCCTTGAAGAAAGCAATATTTTGTTTTTTTGAAATACTAAGAAAAACCTTATCTGCCATATTTGAATGAAGAGAAGTCATTAAAATCTCAAACTGAATGCCATACTCCAGAAAACCATTGCAACTTTCCCTAAACAACAACTATCAACTATTCTCTTATTTGTGTGTTAATTTTTGTTTGTTTATTTCCGGTATAGTTGTGAATAATGTAATTTATTTTAAGAAATTCCCAAAACTAATTTGGAGGGAAACCTTATGTTATGAAAGTCATATGTTTTACCGTAGATGTGTTTGATAATAGAGCTATAGACAGTAGGGGAGGGGGAATGTGTTTGGACCAGAAGTTCTTGATAATAGAGTGGAAAACAACTGCAGGGCTCTTTTTAAAGAGGAACAATGACGTAACATGGTAAACAACTGAAAGTTGAGTTTTCATATTAAATAATACTTTTAATAGCACATTCAAAGAGCTTTGTGTGAGATGCTGGAAGAAGCTGTTTCAGAGCAGCACTTCAGCCGTGATGTTTTTACAGTGTGGGTTGGTTCTGTGATGGTGTTTACAGCTAATTTCTGTTTATGTGCAGACAATAGACACAGAGTTCCCCCTGATTCCTGTTGTTTCACACGGCTTCCAGGACGTGTGTGTGTGTGTGTGTGTACGTTTGTGTGTCTGTGTGTGAGTATGAGGGGGTGAGGAAGTTCAAAACAGCAGCTCGGACAAAGAGGAGGAGGAGCAGATCATGTATCAGCCTTATGGACTCAAAGCGCACGGCGCTTCTCTTTTGTTCATCTCCAATGGAACACATGGAGGGGGCTGCTCCCTCAGTGTGACAGTCCTGCTGAGGAAACTCATTTGGACTGCTTGTCCTTTGGGTCATTCCCCAAAGTCTCGGATTTTAGGCGAGGGTGGGAGCGTAGACTGAGTGCTATATCAGTTTCCAGAACTTCCCTCAACATGAAGGGGTACAATAATAGTATGCTCTTTATGTGCAGTAAAAATACAATACAAATTATTTGGACCTTGACACTGCCTTGAGCAAAACTTTAGGAAGGACCTCTGCAGACCTATAGGCCTATTTTCTATCCATAACTGTGGCCTCATGGTGCAGGTTGGAGGTCCTGGATTGATAAAGTCAACAGCACAACATCCTCAACAAAAAAAAGCCTGTACCCCCAAGACCAGAGCCCCACTGCACCCTGGCTGACCCTAAAAATTCTGCCCATAAAACAGTGAACAGAAGCGGTGGCAAAGGGCATCCCTGGGGGACCCCACATAAACTAGGTACATCTTCTTGTTGAACATGACACTGATGATGTGAGAGGCCGTTACCGTTGGCACAGGGCAGCGAGGTGCACTTGTCCACCCTCTTCTCACAGTTGAGTCCGGTGAAGCTACGTGGGCAGTCACACCTGTAGCTCCGCCCACCGTCTCTCTGACCGCAGCGGCCGCCATGGAAACAGGGTGAGTCTGCACACGTGAGCTGGCTGAGCTCGCAGTGGGAGCCATCAAACCCTGCTGGACAGGCGCATGAGTACCCCACATCCAGGTTCTGAGGGACACAAACGTGATTAGAGAGAGGCCGTCAGTGCATATCATTTAAATAACATGCAATCAACTTTATACTTTTACTCTTAACTTTTAAACTAAATTATCTGTACTCTCTACTCCTGTAATTTTGCAGACAACAACACAAAATAAATTGTTAATTCACTTTATATTGTGTTTTTGTCTGCAAAATGGAGTAGAAAGTCCCAGTATTGTCCCTATGTGGTCCCAATGTATTCCCTTTGTGGTCCCAGTGTAGACCCTATGTGGTCCCAGTGTAGGCCCAATGTGGTCCCAGAGTAATCCCTATGGTCCTAGTGTAGGCCCCATGCGGTCCCAGTGTAGTCCCCAGAATCAATAAAGTATCTATCTATATCTTTCTATGTGGACCAGGTGTAGTACTGAGCTCCAGCTCTGGCCTCACCGTGCAGACTCCTCCGTTGCGGCAGGGCTGGCTGTCACATTCTTGCATCAGAAGCTCGCAGTCCTTCCCCGTGAATCCTGGGAGACAAGTGCAGGTGTAGCTGCCCTGACCACTGTTCATGCACGTGGCTCCGTTCACACAGGGCTGGTGGTGCGTGCAGAAGTTCAGGTCTGAGGAAACAACACAGCAAATATCTTACTACTCTGTGGGAAAGAAGCATTTTTAGACCAGGAAGTACGATCACATGAGTCCAATTCTCAGGTCTCTGCACTTGCTTCCTGTGGCTCAGAGAATAGACTTCAGAGAATAGGCTCTCCATGAATAAGTCTCTCTCTATGCCCTCATATGAAGTAGTAAGTAAGTAAGTAATCTTTATTTATATACTGCACATCGGAGTCTCAAAGCGGTTTACAATTGTGATTTTTGGGAGTGGGGGTGCCAGTACAGGAGGCACATGCCAGACCTATTGTACATATTTTTAGTGGTAGGGGAAACCGGAGCACCCGGAGGAAACCTACGCAGACATGGGGAGAACATGAAAACTCCACTCAGAAAGGCCCTGGTCCAACCGGGATTCGAACCCTTCTTTCTGAGAGGCGAGAGTGCTATCCACTCAGCCACCGTGCCGCCACGCCAACCAACTCGAACTCTGAGGAGCACAGGGACGGACCTCATACTGGTGCCCAGATTGAAGACTAAATATGGGGAGGCAGCATTTCAGATTTATGCAGCTAAACTCTCAAGCAATCTTCTCAAAAATGTTCAAATCCCATACTTTTGATAGAGTTCACTTATGATAGATTTTAATGCCTTGTGTGATTGTCCGTGTTTTGTATTTGGAGTTGCCTTGTGTATCGACTGTAAAATACAAACAGAATTTGCCTTGCCTTGCCTTAGTAGTAGATAGATGGTGTTGGGGTGTGGATGGTGTGGGGGTGTGGTTTGTGTGGGGGTGTACCTTGGTCGCAGAGCAGGCCGCCCCAGCCTTCCTGACAGTTGCATTGCCAGGGCAGGTCACAGGTTCCGTGTTTACAGGCAGGATACTTCTTACACTCGTCACAGAACACGCCCTGCCAGCCATCTCTGCAGCTGAAAGAAAAACACCATACAGCCTTAGAGGACGAGTGCTCTCAAACATGAAGAGCCTATTTCTTTTTCAGACTTTATTTTGACCTTTTTTCCCCAAGTGCTTGAAATGGATTTGCATTGTCAAAAATATCTGAAATAAATTGAAAAATCAAACATCATCGCTACAGTGGGTTTCAGTTTCCTGCAAATATGTGCCTTCAATTAGATACTGACATGTTACATTAGAAAATAAATTCTATCACTAGATGAGACAGATTATAGTAATCTCTCATTGCATTTTTTCATGTTATCAATACATTTCTGCTTTACACATTTACTTTATCATTTCTAAAACATGAAACTCCAGAGTAATATTCCAAAGATCCAGTTTAAGGCAGAAAATACATCAAATAATACAAAATATCAGTCCTTTGATTTAAATGGTCTTATTTTGGCTCGGCTCCAGCGGCACTCAGCAGTTAGATCCTAATCTCTGCAGTATCTGTCAGCTCAAGGAGAAAATGTTCCTTTTCCAAAACTGAATCGTCTTTATTTTGATAGATGGTTCAGATATAGAGAAAGCTCCTATGGATTGGTTTCAAAGGGCAAATAATGTCCCCCATTTCAAGAAAGATTACTTGTTGCTCTGAGCCAGGTTAAAAGTACGACATTAAAGCTTTTTTCTACATAAATAATATCTTTCCTTTCTCTCAACAGAAGCAGTACAATGTGAACATATCAGATCACAACATGCTATTTTCATTTTATTAGAAAACATGTTGTTTATTGTGGAAAAAAGAGCCCTGTGAGTGACTATTTGAATTGATTGGCTGAGTGAGGGTGGTCCTCTCATTTTTCACTTATCCGTCTGAAAGAAACGGACCTAAAGATGTGACAGAGGCCAAAGAATACATGCATCAGATGTGACATGGATTTTAGTATCTAGTTTGGCTTGAAAGGTAGCTATCCCAGCTTTAACTTGAATGAATTATATTTATCCACTGTGAAGCAAGTGGTAAGTGCTTGCACCAATAAAAAGCAGTTCTCCCCAACTTGGATTTGACCGAGTTTCAACAGAAGGGGCGAGGATATGTGTTGGTACCATGGACTGTATATTAGGAGTGGACTGATCGAGTACTGATGTCACCTTAGTGTTTGCCGAATGTGGAAGAAGCTGATTGGAACACAAAAAAGCTGGAGTCAATTTCCTTATATGGGCATTTGTTTCAACAGGGTTAACTTTGCGCCGTAATAGGGGCAGGCGTGTTGCTATAAGACGGTTGCTGTAATTTCCTCCCGTAAATGAAGGCATCTGATTGTTTAAAAATATTTTAAACCCAAAAATGGGTTGACAAAACCGTTATACCGGTTTCTCTAAGTTAAAAGAAGCCTGAGCATGTTGGAGAAAAACTTCGTCCATGAGCACTTTTCATGAGCAAAGGCTTCATAAAGATACAAGGCTAGCATGGTGCATCCATATACAGTTATATACTATATATAAATGTACTATTTTCTGTGCTAGGATTCCTGACAGTAGCGTGAATGGAACTCCAAACTTTTTGATAAGAATCCTGTCTACTTGGTTTATTTTGACTTTTGCTCTATTAAAACTGGCTCCCTTTCCCACATGTGTTGGCTGATGAACGGCCAGCGTCACTAAACCTATAGATCACAGCTGTAGAAACACGTGGGAATGATCCGAAGCCAGTGACAGATCCATGCTAAAACAGGACTCCATTTCATTCCCACAGCAGAAAGGAGTTTGGGGATTCAACCATGATGTGAGGGCATTATACAGCTCCACTCCCAACGGCAATTAACATGAAGTCTAATTTAATCATGACTTTTGCTCAGTAGAGTAATAAAAATAATAATGCTCTGTCAAACCGCTTCAGAGCTTGCATACGACTAGGAATGAAGTAGGACCCACCACATTTAAAGTGGGGGGAAGTAACACTAAAACTACTGTATATAGAATCCATATAGTTCCTTGCTCTCAAAACTATTTGGTTCCATCACTAATTTTCACATGCATTTATGTTCGGCCTCACTCAGCCAATCAGCTCTCAGCCAAAAGGGTCACAGTGCTCTTTCTTGCAAGTACGCAAAAGATAACATGTTTTCCAATAAGCTGGAGATGAAGAGCATGTTGTGGTGTGAACATTTCACTTTTACAAGTTAGGACAAATGGAATTGCCCAGGTTTTGTTGCGCCAGTGAAATGTTTGTAAATTGTGGTGCAAGGTCATGTGTTGTCGCCATCAGATATTGTATATACTCTTTTATGTGCAGAGCCATAAGTCTGTCAAATCAGATTATCCAAGCTCTGGTCTGTCCTAGGAGGAGCTCTGTTAGGTTCTCCCCTGACATATGGAGGCATTGGAGGTCCTGCCTGTACACCTGCTTTTAGTTTTTTTGTTATGTTTTAATCTATGAACCAGTTTAGTCTGTGTTCTTATAATAAAGGGTTAAAATGTATTTGAAAACTGATTGCAGAATGTAAAACAAACACAAACATACATACATACAAAAGAATGCAATCAATCATACAATATATTTTTTTTTTTTGGCGGCCCCATTTTTAAAAAAGCCCTCTTTAGACTATATGCTGTTTGAATGTTGAGAGATGCGCTACAGCAAATGTGACCAGAGAAGCACAGAATCACATGTTTGATGAGGATTCATGTCTGCAAAGGAACATTACGGCTGTATTTCTGTCAGCAGCCAGGTCAATACTCACACACACTCTCCGGGGCTGGAGCAGTTCCCATTCCGCTCGCTGCAGCCGTCCAGACAGACCGCTGTAAGAAGCAGACGCAAGAGTTTAGCATGGAGACCAGTGACCGGGGACATGACCGGCTCGACGGACTTTTCACAGCTTTTGCCCATGTTACAGTTGTTATTCTGGCTTGTTTACACAGGGGAACGACATATAATGTTTGATCTATTTATGGTCCTGCACTTAAAATTGGATGATTATCATTTGGTGGAGCTGAAGTTGCCTGAATGATGATGGTTTCTTATCTCTAGATACCGAGTTCTTGACGTTCTAAGCTGTAAAATGATATATGGCATGTGTATATAAGCAGAGCAGAGGTTGGCTGAGGACTGTGCAAGTGATTTCACAGCAATTCATGCATGTTTTACTTGTTTATATATTTTCTAACACCGGCCGAGACGCCATTGCTCCTCTTGGCTCCCTCCCTCCCTGGTTCCTCCCCCTGTTTTTTGTGTGTGCTGACCCAGGACCCAGGAAAGTGCCGGCAAATACACAGGACTTGCGTTTATGTGAATGGGTCTATTGTCGCAGATACTGGGAACTATAACTGCGACTGACAGTTAAGGTTTTTGTGAATGGAGCTTTTAAGATTTCAAATGTTCAAAATGTCATCTCTGAATCCTCAACTCATTTTCTAAACTTTAATTAAAATAAAATGACACTGTAGAATACAATGGGCCGTGTTCACAATCCAAGGGCCCTACCCACTTCCTGGTTTGTGTCCTAGCACGAGCACTTCCTGTTTAGTAGTCTGGTTTTTTACTAAAACAGCGCCATTGTTTTTAACTTATTTGCGCTCTACTCAGCCCCACAGAGCAAGCAAAAAACCCCGCACAAAAGAGGAATACAGGAAGTTCTTGCACTAAGACACTGACCAGGAAGACGGGCTGTGAAAAATCTCATAACACTCTTTACATGTTGACATTTTGTGACTTTAGGTAACGAAAGCCGAACGGAAAATATGATTGTACCGTGACATGGGTATGCAATTTTGTGTTTTGTTTTTCTTTACACGAACTTCTTTCACATTGCGAATAGCTAGCATAGCCTGTCTATTCCGGGTGCGCCTGCAGCCTTGAGCCTCCCACAGCTGTGCCGGCTCTACTGGATTTCACCCCCGTTTAAAGGGTTGAGACAGGGACGGACACAGGATTTTGGAATGCAAAGGTACAATTTATTGGACCAAAAAATATGTTTAGAGTGAGACTTTTTTATGAGTCATTGCAATGCTATCAAAAAAGAACTGTTTATGCATTACGGTGTATAACAGGTTTATCAATAGATTTATACATTTCTGTGCACTAGAGCAGGGGTTCCCATCCAGTAGCAAGAAGTTAATGATATCAATGTGGATGATGAAATAAAAAATGCATACGGTGATTATCAAAATGCACTTGCAAAAATGAGAGGAATCAGAAATGCACTATTTATACCATAGTTCATGTAGTAAAAACGTTGCGGTCTGGAATGCGCGGCCATGGGCGGACTTGCCGTGGACCCGGTGTAGGTGGTATTCCAAACATCCCGAGCGGCTGGAGGTAAGCGGGTGCTTTAGGGTCCGAGCAGATGCGAGCCAGTAATAGCCCACAGCTGTGACTATTGTTGTTTGTGGTTGTATAAATGTTCGTGGAGCAGACACGGCAGGCGCGTGGCGGACGGGCGCGCACTGACCCCGGCTCATGGCATTAGGGACACCGGCTCGAGTTACAGGCTGCACGCATTGGGGGGACCATGGGAGAATATGGGAGACTATGAGGGGATCATGAGGGGACCATAGCTCTCTGGCTTCCACTTTGTACTGAGAAGGAAATGATTAAGACAACCTTAGAATAGCCACGTGTGAAGAAGGCTGTTGCCTGTGGATCAAATGATAATGATTTTTTTCTTGATATAGAAGTTATGAAGACTTGATAAACTGTATACTTGCACACACGCCATTGAACATATTTAAGATGACATTGAGAAAGGCAAATGCTCAATTCTGCTCAGTTTTTCTCCAAAACAGCGGATGTAGGAGAAAGAACAAGGGATTTGATGCACATGCTGATGATTGCGATTCATATTGATTGCATTCTTTTGGCACAGTTCAACAGAAACATCTCATGGTGTGTGAATTAAATATTTTTTGGAGCTACCACTTCAGTTGTGCGGATCTATCTAGTTCCAAGCCTGTTTTAGAGCTCTGAAATCAGGCAGCCAGTTTGTTTTAAAGTTTGCGAGTGGCAACTTGCAGCCACTAAATTTGGTTTTCATTCTGGTTATTAGTGCAGGCATATGTGATGACACAGAAATGTGTAGTGGAAAAAGTTGATAAAATTCCAAGAATGTGGCGGCATCTGTTGGTTTGCTCTGAGCAGCAGTGTTGGCCGTGGCTGTCATTTCTGAGGATCCCAACGTCATTAAGAGGTCAGCGCCTGGATTATCTCTGCTGTTTTGGCCAATGGTGACCGTCAGCACCAGGTCTGTCCTCATCCATCTTACACATGCCACGCTTTAGGACCTTTAAAGGCAATGTTGGCTACTTCAATTGTAGTTCATTTTGATAAAAATACATATTTTGGAACATATGACCCTATATTTTCATCTATATATATTGTTTTCATTATCAAAATATGTATAGTACCCCCACCCCTTAGAATATCACCGGTAAGATTTGCTGGAGGAGAACATATATATATATATATTACAGTATATATATATTAAATAGAAATCTCTCCATCTTCACATTTTAAGAATTAACTGACTGGACAGAAGGGGTGGGAAAGGAGAATGAACAACTCCGGGTCTGTTTTTGATTGTGAAACTTTTTGATGTGGAGAAACAATGTTAACACAGATACAAAAAGACGACTATGCCTATCCTGTGTCCTTGAGTGTATTTCCGACTTATTTCCTATCGTCCTTAATAGCACTTTTTACTTTATTTCTAAAAAGACCTGAAACTCTTGCACGGGGGGATATTAGCACGTTTCATTCGTTCTCGCTGCTGTTGTGTTTTCTGTGGGCAGCGGCGATTGATGCGCGTGTAATTGCGACACGAGACGGCCCATCTGGTCAGGGGGTTGGCGCCATGGTGGAATCGGCGTGCGGCCATTTCTCTGTCAGCGTCGCGGTGTAAACGAGCGGCTGCGGTCACCCAGGCGGCACATGTTAGCAATTAGCACGTCCCACCCATCTACAGCGCTATGATTTGTTTGTATTCGGTGAAAAGTCTTGGCTAACGAGCTTAAAGAACACATAACATGCTTCTGTCTATTCTGCAGCATACTCCTTGGCTCATAATTATAGAGTTGGTGTATTTTAAAATCGCAATACTTTTTCTCCTTTTGGCAACAATTCTCAACACTGGTGAATCCTGCACCATGCATATCTAGACGTTTCAAGAAATGTGTAGGCTGTGTGAAAGGAAGAGGAAATCCGGGGTTCAGATTCGGGAAAAAAGTGGTCCGACACAGTAGATAAAACAGAGGAACAATGGCGTCTTGGGTGTAAGAGAATATAAATGAGTCAAACATGAAACCACTGTGAGTGTGTGAAACTTTCACATGGGCAAAAGTTGTGAAGAGTCAATATTTATCTTGTTCCAACGGTGTTCCTCACCCAAAGTTTTGTTCCCATTGATTTCTCCATGTTTGAATAATCCGATGTTATCCTGTAATGGCTTCAGTGCTCAGAAAATGAAAAGTCTAATCTACCACTTAATCCTGCCCATTTCACTGCATTAGCACAATTCTAAACCTAAAACTGGGGTGCCTGACTTTTAAACTGAATCAACGTAACTATAACGTAACTAAAATAAACTAGTTACTGGTCCCACACTAGTTTGTTTCCATCACTAGTTTTCACGTACATGTTTTATTGGCCTTGTGGTCCCATCTTAAGATCAGCTTTTCTGGGTAGAAAAGTGAAAAAAAGAGTGCCATCCTCATGTTGTGGTCAAATTTTCACAAAACTTTTCCCGTTCGACAAACATATACAATTGTGTTATTCGTGGAGAGAAAAAGTGAGGTACCCCAGCTTTAATGCCTTGACTGCAATGGAAACGAAACCTGGTGAACGCCGTTAGAACACTGTAATCGAACCAGTCCTATGTAAATGGTAAGAGCGCCCTTGGGAGCATGCATCCTTACGTTCTTCGCAGTACTTTCCCTTCCAGCCGGGCAGGCAGGAGAGCTGGCCGTCCCGCGTGCAGGTGTAGTGGCCAAAGCGGTCGTCGCGGGGGCTGCACTTCTTTGAGCAGCTCGGGCCGTAGTAGCTGTCGTTGCAGATGAATCGGTACGAGTAGGACAGCTCCGTGTGCCTCCAGAGCTGGTGGTTCTGGGTCCAGTCTAAGCCCACAGCGAGCTGCCTTTGGACCGCAAAGAAGCTGATGCGGAGAGACATGTCCGAGGCGTCTGCAAGAGAGAGCGTGTCTGAGAGGTGGACTGGCAGCTTTTTACAGTTTTACACTAATAAATATACAGTTTGGTAGTGTTTTGGTAAATATTTTTTGGGTAAATATGGAAAATATGTTGAAATGTACAGGAAGTGGAGGGAGGAAAGCGCGGGAGATTCCATATACATCCTAAAGTTCAGCAACATTTACAACAAATGCAGTTTTAAAAATAAATAATACATTCTATCAACTTTGGAGATTTTTTGGCTCAAATGTACATGATATCATCTCTCAGTGTCAAGTAGATATTACAAACTCAAAGTTGCTGTTGAGATCATCTGTTTACAGTTTCATAAGCCAACTTCCTCTCAACATAGACACGTTGTATCTCTTGTAAAGCTCGAGACCTTATGCATCCAGTCATTGACTGTGTTTGACTTTACCAAAATGTATTTGTGATTGTGGCACTAAAATCTGCACATAGAGCTAATAAAGGAAACCTAGACAGACACAGAAAGAACATGCAAACACCACTAAGAAAGGCCTTGTGCTGGTTTCAAAAGCAATAATCGAGACCAAATTTTCAGCCAAGAGACCACAGACCAGAGAGCAAATGAGGCCCAATAAACCAGTTGGTTTAGTCTTTTTCAGTTCTGGCTTACATTTAAATGTGGTTGGTACTAATTATTCGTAGTCCGATCCCGGCTCAGTTGTGGTAACAAAGAGCAATGTTGAGTTCTATATTTAATGATTCACAATGAAAGAGCAGATGGTGGCACAAATGAAGTTGAAAAGGCATGGGAAGGAGTGGGCCGTAGACTTTGGCTTTTAGAAGAAGAAGCCGGTGAGAGCGATCTCAAACAGGCCCCATGGGAAGGGATCTGAAGCCAAATTTTCTCCTAGCAACCTTCAAGCATAATGCAAATAAAAGGCATTTGATTTTGTCAAGTCTCATCCAGTGATTGAAGTTGGAAATGATAACTTGCTAAATTAATTTGGGGACCTAACTGACCTTGAGGATTTGAAGTTTGAAAAACGAGCATTTGGACAGAAGGGGTAGGGATGGATGGAGCAAAAAAATTTGGTTTGTTATGTTATTCATGCTTCAAAAACCTTTCAAAAGTCGACCATTGTGCATATTATGTCTAGTCGACTTATCGGATGATGGTGTCTTAGTCATCCAACATTTTTTTGTCAATGAATAATTTGATTTAAACTGCAAAAATAGGAAGTCATGGAAGAAATATTATGAAGATTTTGGTATTTACTGAAATTCAATCCGGCTAAAAACTCAAATTTCAGTAATAACAATTCATATTTTGCTGCACTTTCTTTTGTCTTGCTTTGGTTAATATGTCTCCTTTAAAAGGTCTAAATTGCAGGAGAAATCCTGATGATCAGAGAAACCACTTTGATGTTGTCCGTCATGAGGTGAGCCTATAGCACTGGTGTTTAAGAATCCAGATTCCAGAATGTATTTCCCATTTGCAGTAAAACCACATTGGAAAAACTGTGCAAGTCCTGTCCCGGTGTTCTGCCCGGCAACACTGTAGCCTCACTGTAGCTCTCTCCTTCCTGCCTGCAGACCAGAGCTGAAGCGGTACGGAGCTGCTGAGGTGTAAACGGCAGGAAGACGTTTGGCACAGGCCCGTTCCCACGCCCAAAATACTCCACGGGAAGTCTGATTGTGTACGAGAGCGAGAGAAAGGTGCGTGCTCCAAACAGGCTGTGTGAGCGTGGGGAGGTGGAGGGGAGGATGGAACCGACCGGGACCACACTCTCACACACTGCAAAACAACAGCTGGAACAAGTCCGACTCCATGGTGTAAGCCAGATGGAAACGAGATGGCAATTTTTTTGGGATCCTGATTAGCAAATGGTAAAAAAACTGAAAATATTCAAGTTCTTTGCAACAAAACAAGGGACAGAAGATATAAGCAAAACAGCACTTGAATTGGGGAACATCTTGATTTGAGTTTAATTTGAAGATTTGTCATGGAACATGTGAGATCTCAATACTTTTTTTAGTGAGATCTTGCTTTCTTGATGGAGTTCCAACCTTGAACTATAGGTTAGAACTCTATAAACATTATGTCAAATTTATGGGATTTGTGTTAGAGATAAAGGCTTCATATGTACACTCTTTCAAATGGAACTCTATTCAAATTAGACTAAACTAAACTTAAATTAACTAAAATTAACTTTAAAAATGCAGGATATCAACAATTGCATAGAAGTTCCAATGTTGGGCAGATTTATTGAATTATTTTGGCAAGAAATATGACGCTCTTAGTAACAAGTCAAACAAACTATCACTGGAACAAAAAAATGTCTCAACAAAAGCAACAATGTTCTTATTCCATGTTATTTTATAGACTAAAGTTTGTTACAACCAATGGCACAGTCTCCACATGACATCACCAGTCAGACAAAAGCAGCTGATGGGAATGTGTAAAAGGAGAATTTATATAGAAAACAATCGTTCTGTGAGTGACATGGTCGGACTGACACACAATGAACACACCTCTCCAAAAAGATTAGGTCGCAAGGTGGGTTAGATGCCGAGTTGTTCTGACATAGCAACCAGTGCTTTTCATTGAGACGTTCGGATGGAAAATCTGTGTTTTTGCTGAGTGCCTTTTCTTGCAAAAACTACTCTTGCATAACATCACAACAACATATCTAATAATAAACTTGCAGATTGAGAGTTTTAGAGAATGTCTAAATCAATGGTTGCTGTTTTCCTTTTGCAACCCTTGTATTTTAAAAAACTACAATTGACCATCAGCCACACTTCATCTGATTCCAAACCAACACATGCAAAGATCAGAACTATGACTGGAACTTACTTATCCAGGTCAAAATAGAAGTAGATCCGGATTTAATTCGGTCTGCACGAGCATTGAACCGGGACTAGAAAGGATTCAAGCAGGATCCCGACTTTGAAGCAACACAAACCAGGTCTAAACCAGGACTAGGTCAGGTAAATAAATATACTACAGGTCTTATGGGATAAACGCAGGAATGCTGGACTAAAAATGGACCAGACCCAGGACTAAACCAGGGCTTAAATGCACGTACGCATCATGACTCCCTGGATGTGAAGATGTGCCTATGGTGTTATGTTTGTGCGCTGTTATGCCATGTTCCACACGACAGCGCGCCTCCTTGTGGTGACAAAGTGCAAGAACTCACCTGCAGCAGGACTCCCATACGGTGAATGCCAGGCTTCAATAATTAATGAGAACGAGCCCTGGGAGGAAACACAACGTCATATATTATTGCTTTTGCCTTTGGAACACAGGAACTTACTTTGAAACGCACTGTTTAGGGCGATGCCTGTTAAAATGTGCTTGTAATTTGGACTTTAATGTGACTTGATTCAAAGATAGTAATTGACAACAGTAGTTTTTGACTAGTTTAGATTGATTAAATTGATGAGGGTAGAATATTTGAGTGCTTTCAAGTGGCAACACAGAATGTTCAAACTATCATACCTATGTTATAAGAATAAAACAACAAATTTGGGTGAAGGGTGAAACAAAGTCTAAAGTCAAAGCTCTTGACCTTTTTTGTTTGTCTCAACAGAAAGAGTTATGTTAAAGTCAAAATGTTACTAAAAAATCAGACCACAACATGTCTCCATCTTATCAGCACACATGTTATCTTTAGCATACTTGGAAAAAACCCCATGAGTCACTTTCTGACACTTTGGGCTGAGCGCTGATTGGCAGAGTGAAGGTGTTTTGTTGCTTGTCTGTCTGAAGAAAACTTATCTAAACTAAGATGCAAAAAAGACATGTATGTGGAAACTAGAGATAGAACCAAACTGTTTAAAAGCCTGGGGCAAGTCAGTGACATCGATTTTATTATATAGATCCATAATTTGAAAGTTAAGTGCCCCAGCTTTAACCCTGTTTAGCAGAGGATAGTTGCAAGAATGGATAATCAAGCCAAACACGCATTACGCATGAGGTTTTGGGGGTGCTCTCTTACCGGCCATCCGAAGTTGAAGGGGATCTGAACGGGCTTGCTGTCCTTGGCCGTGAAGGAGTTGGTCCCCAGCACCGGAGTGACGCTGCTTCCAAATATGCAGTCCCCGGGCGACACTACGGCCTGGTAATTCTTCAGGCAAATAGTGAAATGTGTTCTGCAGCTGGCGGGCTTGCATGCGTCCCCGCTCGCCAGCAAGCCCTTGTGGTTCTTAAATTCGTTCAAGTGGAGCTCAAAAACGCCCGTACCAAACACCTATAGAGGAGAGAAGAGAAAGTGATGCGGGAGGGCTTGTATGTAACGGACAGCAGATTGTTTTGGGAAAAATACGAGATTGTAATAATAGTAAATGGCTACTAATACAAATGCGTAAAAATAAAACCACTGCAAAAGCAAAACAAGCATATTTATATAGTCCCATCCAATTCGCTTGTCTCATATAATTGCAATTGCCTATACTCATACTTCCCTTAGTAAAGTTCATGTTTTCTATTAAATAAATGTATTCTATCCAACTCCAAATGCTTATACTTGCCCGGATGATTCGTTGTTTTGACAGTGGTCACTTTTTCCCCTTGCCAATATTCCCTCTCAAAACAACAACGTTGAGACTAGACTGTGTATGGGACCCACATAACTACATAGCCTGGCTTTAACTTATATGTCTGCTGTATAAGAGTATTTCATACATTTTACGTTGTGGGAGATAATTGAGGTTGGTTTTGGCACACGTTTATGGACTTTTTGTGCAATTGTGCAATGTGATTTTTTTTCTCCAGCTGTAAACAAAAGGACATGTGGGCGTATTACTGTATAGTATTATTGTAGTAAGAGCCTATTCCGTTACCTGTGATAATAAAGTGGTAGTAAAAGCAAGCGCAAATATGATCCAAGCTGCCATCCTTCACCGGGGCAGAGCGCGCACCAAGCAAGCGCCGCTCTCCACTCGCGCCTCTGTCAATTCCAGTTAATAAAAAACACAAAAAAGTGGAGGGAAAAAATAAAATGCAATGAATAAATCCTTCTTCACTCAAAACGAGACCTCCCGCGCAATAGTTCCGTGGTTAGAAAAATAATTCTCCAAAGTTATCCACATTTACGAGAGATGGGATCCCACATGCGCTGGTGCCGCGTGCGTAATACTCCAGTTTGTGTGTTCGTGTGTCTGTGTGTGTATGGGGCTGGGTCCGTGGCTCATGTACGCACTGCTTGGTGATGTAGTTGCTGGAGTATGGTCCTCGCAGATCGTCTCCTCCCTGCTTTATAGACTCGCGAAGGCAGGGCTCATCACCGCCCACATCCAGCCCAAGCTTGCGCGTAAAGAGCTGCAGACGCAGAGCTGCGCTTTCACGGCTGCAACCACACGGCCCATGTTGTTTTTGATTGGAGTTTACAGTTATGTCATGTCGTTCTCAAGTGTTTTCAGCATTACGTATATTTTAAACTTTGGCTTGAATGCTGGCACACGCAAGAATCAATGCAATTATTTAGGCCATATTTTTGATATGATTCCTGTGTTAACACAAACATCACTGAGCCGCTCTGGAGAGATCTCAAACTTGTAGTCAATGCAAGGCAGCCTGGGAATTTACAGGAACTGGAAGATTGTTTTTACCAAGAAGAATGTTACCATCTTTACAAGCTTTACCATCAGAGAGGATAAAGAACGTCATGACTCATCCTCTCACAGTCATTCATAGACGTATGTGAACTGGTGATTGAGTTTTCCAATGTATTTCATATTTACTGTTTACGCAATGTGGATTATTCACTTAGACAGGTACATCTGAGCGCGGGTCCGTATGCGCAGCCCTGACAGTGCAGCTCCGTGTTTACAGAAACATATGCACCCAAAGCGCTGATCCTCCCTTTCGTTTCCAAACCAACAATTAGCAGATTTAATGCCACACTGCGCGCTGATTGTTACGCATCTGCTGTTTTACGTCTTTTTTTGGAGCAAATGAAAGTAAAGGACCATCAATTGTGCCTGAAATATATTTAAAACACAGTATGTTTACAAAGAATAAAAGTTTGGAGTAAAATGAAATTAAAACAAACAAAAAAACATTTGCAGTGTGCATCATCAATGAACTCGCCTATATCCAAATACATACATTTATAAAATAAGCTGGGTTTTCCTTGTGCTCTTAAATGCATGTGCTGGCCTGGTCTCAGTAGTATCTGATATGCATGTTATACCATTGTGAACTCCAAACAAACTAGTTTTTCACACCTCAATCAGAGCATCCGGCGTGCATCTTTGTTCAAGTTAAATGCATGGAACCAGTTTTCAGTAGTGCTTCGTAAATGCACTCATTTAATTAGACCCTGCTCGTTTGATTAGCTGCTTCGATGCGTCCTCTTAATGCTATTCCCAGTGCGACATCACAAAAATTAAATTACATGCAGCTCAGCAGCAGGGTGAATATTTCTCAGTAAACAACCTGGAGTGATCCTTAATGTATAGAAAGTGCTTTTATAGACCCAATAACAATATTTAAAACCTATGAATGTCTGGAAGAAAGTATAGATCGGGAATTAAAGTTAATTTTGAGGACATCAAAAGAGGACATGAGATGCAAAATTGACTTTTTGTGTGTGTTTTCCCATGTTAAAGATTCATTCATGCATGTTTGACTTATTTTCTTACATCTGAGAGGACATTGCCCCACCCAGGCTCCTCCCCTTGGCAGACCACCGCGGCACACCCACCAGTAATATACTTTGGTCGGGCCATTGAGGAATTAAGATGATTCGGAAGATTAATCTAGAAAAAATATATATCTATCCAGCGCAACCGGCGTAGAAATGGACTGTCAAACCTGATCTGCAGAGCAGGGCTTTTGATTGCACGTTTGTGTTCTCATCACAAGGCCTTCGATTACCAAATAATGATTCATAGATCTATCAATATCTTTACTAGTTACTGTCGTTGTTATTTTAACCTATGTAATCACTGTCAACTGTCATTTACATCTAACCATCTACCTTGTCCTTTTGCGTAAAATTTGGACCGCGTTTGCATCGTGCGTAAAAACCCCCAATTACGCACCAGTTATTTGTCTCAACACGCTGGGCATTATTATGCTTCCCCTTAAAACCCCACACGGGTCTCCTGTGACCCACGTGACCCACCCCCCTCACCCCCCCTCTAGAGTGTGTTTATACGGCGCGTGTGCCCACCCACCAGCTCGTGTTTTGTACAGTTTAGCGGCAGAGCGCGTGCCTGCTTTTGTCGCGGCGCGTGTCTCCCCCCCTCCACACACACGCACTCGCACTAGCACACGCACACGCACAGACAAACACAGTCACACATACGCACACACACACACACACACACACACACACACACACACACACACACACACACACACACACACACACACACACACACACACACACACACACACACACACACACACACACACACACACACACACACACACACACACACACACACACACACACACACACACTCAGCCCCCGCCACCCCGACTCACACAGAGGGCACGCGACCATTCAGCTGTATGCAAATGAGCCTCTCTTTTACGCACAAGCGGAGCGTCACTGCTGGGTCCTCGAAATCAAAGGGCTGATGTTGCCATGGATTTCAGATTACATCACATCAACATTGGCTCATTAATTTTTAGAGAACAATTGAGCTGTTTTATCACTGGAGATAAAAACAAGATTATTAAATATTCCATGTATATATATATATATATATATATATATATATATTTTCCTTAAACAAGAACTATTTTGTAAAGGATTGAGCAGCGAGTGCAACGAAACCATTGAAATCGTCAACACAGATCAGAGAATCAAACAGTTCAAACACAAAAAATATACAATACATTATGTATTGGTCCATAGGAAGAGACGAATGTTGATAAATGTCCATAAATGTTGTAGAATGGAAAATTTCTAAAACTCAGTGAGAAAAAAGTCAGAAACCTCGGGGAGATCCACATTGAGAGAGGGATCTGCTCCACACGGATGGACGGACTGTAGATCCAGGACCTGAGCTACAGAACGAGGACCAAGGCCACGCAGCGCTTGCTTGTTTAGTGTGTTCTCAGTAGTGTGCTCACACTGAACACGTCTTAGCAAAAGGGGAAGGTTTCTGACACACCAGTTCAGTGTGTAAGGAAAATACGACCCAAGGGTTTGGAAGAAAAAAAGTTTCACATTAATGGAAATGTATACCCAAAAATATACCCATACAAAACAATTCATTGATCATTCAAAATCAATATATCATTCTCACTTTACAAATATTTAATATAAGCTGATTTGAATATGTAGATGTATGTTGAACTTGACAGATTTTCTTTGTTGTCTTTTATCTGTAAAATCATGTGATCATAACACGTATACACATAGATATACATTTACCTGTACATACAACCTTAACATGCCGCCTTGCCCATCCAAACTCCCATGTCTTTCACACTTTGGCGCATGCTTGGCAGCTACCCTCCTGAATGTGCTTGATTGGTCAATCGTGTCATTTGATCGAAGTCTTGGGATGACCATCTGTCCAGAAATGACCACTGCTTAACCAACCACTAATGTCTTCCCAGATGTACTTTAGACCAACTTGAAAATTATTATTATTATTTTAAATGTACAAATTTTTTTTGTTTTTTTTTCTTAAATATAGTGCTCCTGTCCCTTGTCTTAACTGATACTGAGTCTTGGGCAGTTTTATGCACTATGAAATAACCAGTTCTGAAATGTGAACTAGCTCTGGCACTGGCATCAGAGTGGTGCTACTTCTCAAAGTGCCTCGTAGAATCCCAATGTAGGCTCTGCACAGTTTGACTTGTCTGTCTCTTGGCCAGGAGATGATATATCCAAAAAACAGTTTTTCAAACATAGGTCCTCACTAAATTAAAAACATGCTTATTTGATAATAAATGGCTTCACAGTGGAATAGAATAGTTTGTGTTATCATTCATTATTTCTGAAATATGGCACTTCAAATTTAATTTTCCATCTGAATGTGTAAACCTTCAGCCCATATGTTCCCTGCTCGTATTTCCTGATAATATCCTGCTTTGTTTGCTGTGGAGCTAAAAGCTACACAGTAATAATGACTTACTGATTCTACATGTTTAATATAGAGCGTGTAATTAAACTTTATCATCAGAAGTATAAAATCTTATCAGAACGCACAGTAAATGTAATCTATGTTCACTTTTACAGCTTGTGTAATGAACAGCCTCCATTAAAAGTGAGCCATGGTGGTTTTATGAGCAGCAGCAGCACCAGCTCGGGGCAGCCTGGTGTCCATGTTGTTTTAAGCAGCTCTACATGTTTGTCTAGTTTGTCTCTTTGAACTCGGGGTCACGGAGCGTCTGCTGTTTTCTTAAAGCAGCCGTTCTCTGGCTCCTCTGCTGCGCCTGTCCTGTCCCGTCACAGGCCCTGTCCCACCAACTCACAGCTGAACCCAGGAAAGCTCAAAAGCACACATTTTGTCTATTTAATTTGGACGGGATATTGTATTTTAATGAACAGCAGCTTTTTTGTAGCTAATTTCTATCTGTCGTCCCAGAGTTACACTCACAAACACACTCATTCAACCCTCACCTATTGGGGTGCGCATGTTTTTAGTCGCAGGTGAAACCGGAGCACCCCAAGAAAACCTATGCATAAACTGGGGGATCAAGCGTCAATTAGGGCCTTACAGGGTCTTTCTAACAGGATGCATCAAATCATTTATATTCACTTCTGTTTAGGCATAAATCACAACAGCAGTCGTCTCAGACAACTTTACAAAAATGTGGGTTTGCCAAAAATAGATCAGAAAATCAAACAGTTGGAACACTGGAAAAGAAATAATAACAAACACATATGTCCATAAATGTCCATAAAAGTCCCTAAATGTCCCTAAAT